TTCAAAAACCAAACAAACCAACATCAGGGAATATTTTGTCTCTTATCTTAGTTATCACATATTTCTGAATATGTCATTTATTTTCCATAATTACTCCACTTTTTGGTATTTGTAAATGAGTGTTTTCACAAAAATAATCTATTTATTAAATTAGACCCGGCATGGCCAGGTGGTTAGGGCGCTCGGCTCGCAATCTGCGGGTTCGCATCCCCGTCCCACCAAACATGCTCACCCTTTCAGCCGTGGGGGCGTTATAATGTGACGGTCAATCCCACTATTAGTAAAAGTGTAGCCCAAGAATTGGCGGTGGGTAGTGATGACTAGCTGCCTTTCCTCTAGTCTTACGCTGCTAAATTAGGGACGGCTAGCGCAGATAGCCCTCGTGTAGCTTTGCGCGAAATCCATAACAAACAATTTATTAAATTATTATGGATGTCTCGTAGATCTATAATTATAATTAATTAAACGTGGCCTGATGTAAATCTCTCACATAATAATACTTAGGCGACGACATTCCAGCTCGTCTTTTGGTATGAGTTTAAAACTTCACACGGCTGTAACTGATTTTTTCAATCAATCAGGTCCTAGAACGAAGAGGTAAGGAATGGAAAACTTTTCGACGTTCCTGGAAACATTTTAGAAAGTCTAAGAGAAGCCGGAAACGATTAAAAAAATGTTGGAGAAACTTACTTTGGTACTGCGACAAAATAGGTAACAACGACAAGAACGTGAATTTACAAGAATGGCTACAGTGTATAGAAGTAAAGAAAGGTGAGTGGTTGAGAGTTATCATTATCGCATTATATTGATCAATGGCTTTAGTGCAAATGAAGACAATATGATCTTCGATATATTGGCTGTCTTAGTGGTTAGCGTGTCAGGTTGCGGATCGAAGGGTCCAGGCCTCTTGCCTCTGAACACTCTTCACACTTTCAGCTATGGGCGTGTTATAAACGTGATAATGAATCCCGTTATTAGATTTAAAGAGTCGGATAAAGCCCTTATAGCGGCGGCGGGTGCTGATGGTTAGCTGTCTCCTCTGTGGGCAGTAATTCAAAATTACAGATGACTACATCTGATCCATAGTTGTTTCTGACCTGACCACTTAGCCCAAGCACGCATAAGGTTGAAAATTCCAGGTGGAAAGACGTATAAATAATGTGATATATTTTGCCTCTGTTTATGCATCTTGTCTCATCTTTTTATTTCTCTGAATTAATCTTTAAAAATTTCGAACATTATTCCTTATTTAAATTTTATGGTTAAGTGGATTTAGCTGTAATCTAGTATTAAAATATTTAAGCCAAAACATAAACTTGTATATAAATACAATAATTTTTTTCTGTTAATCTAATATATTCAACCACTATGGAATTATAATAAACAACACGAAAAAAAGAAATGAAAGTTAAGTATATATAGATAGATATTCATAGTGAGCAAGAATCATTCATATGCTAAATGATTGGTTAAGTTTTCTCCGAAATATACTTTGTAACAACAGACATGGAATATTCTAGGTTGTGAAAAGTTTTTGTACTTTTCGTTTTTGACGATATTTCAGTTTATTTATGTAAGTGCTAGAAATATCCGTTGAACTGTTTAAAAAGGGTGCTGTTTGTAATTTCTGGCAGTCCGGATAAAGACACCTGGTGATGCTGTGAAGGGAAAAAACCCTTTCAAAAGAATACTGAAACCGCTTCAGGCACATTAGTCAAACATTGTTAACGTCTGTTTGATGTCTGCTTTCAAGTGGATGCTGAAACTACGTAATGACTAGCCGCCATTTAGACTGGCAACCCTGATTTCCAACAAGTTAAGTCATTAAAATGTTTATATAATGTCAAATACATCTCATAATGTGAATGGCTTATGACAGTAATAACCAGTTAATATGACAATCACATCGTGTTTTTCTTCTATCAGTTCTGAGGCTAGTCTTCGGAGATCGGGTACAGGTCCGCTGTATTGTTGCGCCATCTATCGTTCAAATGAAATATAATATTTACTAAATATAAAGCACCTCGATAATTATTTCATACAATTTTAAATGGTGTTGTGTTTGAGTGAACTCGTGGTATGTGGTAATATTGCGTGATAAATAAATAGGTAATTTTTAAGAGTCACAGCAATATGTTTGACAAAGAGTGTAGTTTTGAGAACAGATGCGTCAAATATAATAAAACATGAAGATTCACATATTAAGAACTACGTTTTCTTTCTTCTTATCGCTGCAAAAAATTCAAAGATATTTGAAATTGTACGTGGTTTTTAAGTTTGGGATTTAAATGAAGTGTTAGGAAAGAATTTGTAACAAACCAAGTTCGTATTTAAAGAAGTAAAGAGAAAACTTCTCAGTGTACACTCTGTATTTTGTTTCATTTTGTAATACTCGCTTAGATGTTCTAGGGCTTAAAAAACACATCAGAGTACACTCCAAAATTATAAAATACCGCAAGGTAAAGCACAAAACGGTACACCGTTTCGAATCTCATGACAGATTATTTAGGTATTTTCCGTTGATTAGTCCTACTCGAAATGAGAATTTTTATTAATTTAACTTGCATAGTAGTAGACTCACGTCCTAGTTAATTTAACATTACCTTTGAAAAGAATATGATAATATTTTTTTACCGTTTTACGTATAATTTTTTTTAGAAATTTCTTTCAAGTGTTTTCTAAAAATTATAATCCCCTGACAACAAAAGTAATTACAAAAATAATTATTATATATATATCACATATACTTTAAATGCATTTGAACATACTGGTTTTCACAAAGACTGGGTATTTGTAATTTCTATATATATATATATATATATA